TTTTTATGGTATCACACAATTCCTGCATATTCCATTCTTGTGTTTTCTTAACTTTTTATAATCTTTGCTTGAGTGGTCTAGTTCGTCCAGTTTATCTTCCAGTCTTGATATTCTGTTTTCCATTTCATTCATCCTATTGGTGAGGCTTTCTCCTGTCATTTCTAATTGGCTTACTGAATGTTTCACTTCCTTCTTCATTTCAGCCTGAATATTCTTCAGTATTTCTAGCTCTTTTCTGAATTCATTCAGAAGTTCATCCCTATCTTCCTTCAGTTCTTTGATTTCTTTGTGTGTTCTTTAAATTCACTGAATTCTTTTATCATGTTTATAATTTTTCTTTTGAGTTCCATGTCCTGCTTTATCTCTAGGGGGTTCTCATTGTACTCCTCTAGAGGACTGTATTGGTATTTGGAGGGGATATGTTATTTTGGTTTTTCATATTATTTTTTCTCTGTGATTTTGATATGTGAATTTCTTTTGTAGTTTCTGATTCTTGTGTGAGACTCAAGCCTTCAAGTTTAGGTCTTCTTTTTGTAAACTTTATGTGTCTTTGTGGCTTACTTTTTGGGCATGAAAATCTTGTTCCTCCAAGCTTCCGGTTCTCAGTTTTGATTTTATATTGGAATGGCCAGATTGCTTTTGTCTTCAGGAGTTCCCACAGAGGCCCAAGTCAGATGCAGATCAGATGCTCTCAGGCTTTCTCCTAAGGTCTGGATCCCTCCAGGAAAGATTTTGGCCTCAGGAATTTGGGGGTTGGACTGGCCTGGGAGCAGGGCCCAGGAAAGATGCTGGTCTCAGGCAGCTGGTGGCCGTGCCACCCAGAGATGCAAAGGGAAATGGGGGTGAGAAGAGGCCCCAAGGGCTCCTGGGGACTGCACTGAGGAACTGGGTTGGTCTGGATGCAAAGGATCAGGAAGTAGAAAGGTCAGCCCTGGCATCCAGGAATGAGGCTGGTGGGTTGTGCAGCCCAGGGAAGCAGAGTGAGGTGAGGGCAGGACCAGGCTCTGAAGGCTGCAGGGAGAGAGGCTGGCAGGTAGTGCAGACCAGGGAAGAAGAAGGAGGTGAGGGCAGAGCAGGCCCAGAGTGCTCCTGGGGACCCAAGAAGGAACTGTGTACGTCTGGATGCAAAGGATCAAGAAGCAATGGTGGGTCCCCAGGTGTCTGGGGTGCCAGGACAAGGAATGAGATAGGTCCCAGGCTAGGACGAGAGAAGGGCAGGAGAGATGGGATGGTGAATGAGGCTGGGAGAGTCAAGGCCTGGAGGGTGCGATAGACTTACCTGGGAGAGAGAGTCCTGTAGGTTGTGCAGGTCCAGGGAAGCAGAGGAGGTCAGGCCTTAACTCTTTAACAAAAGATGTTCATAGAGATCTTGAAAGATGGTAGGAATGGCCTCAAAGAAAGTAGGAGATAGGCAAGTAAGTCCTTTATTCTTTATAAAAACAAATTTTATGGTGGATTCCAAATTACATATATAACTTTTTTACATGTATACAATTTTGAAAGTAACTTAATAAAGAACATAGAAAAATCACAAAATTATCATAACCTCAAATTTGTTCAACTTT